TAGCTGAGTTGCTGTTGTTCCCAGTTGCTTCCACTTTGTTATAATACCACTAACAGTTGACTGTGGAATATTTAGTAGCAAGGAAATTTCATGGATGAACTTATTGCACAGGTGGCAACCTGTCACAGTTCCACGCTTGAATACACTCCCGAGAAAGACCCATTCTTTTACAAATGTTTGTAGAAGCAGTCTGCATGCCTAGGTGCTTGATTTTTTATACACCTGTGGCCATGGAGGTGATTTGAATACCTGAATCCAATGATTTGGAGGGGTGCCCCAATACTTTTGGCAATATAATGTAATGTAAAGTGCTGTGTTTATGGTCGGTGCTACATAAGTGCCTGTAATGAATAAAACAAGTGTCTCCATTGGAAGATTTTCCCCTCTAATCATGTTCTTCATGATCCAGTGAGAAATATAACATTTTGGATTTCCACATTCTGTCTCCGTGTCAACAGACAACAAAGTGAGATTTTGTTTCTACTTCTACTACACTATCCAAAACTGGAGAAAACTATTAGGGTTGAAATTTCACTTTAAGGACTATTTGCATGAAAGTCCTTCAAAACATGTGATAAACGGGCTTCAAATAATGTGTGATTGTGCAGCAGCACTAGTGTAACCTAGGCTCAAAGTATATGTCCAGCAAAAACTGTTTTTTTTGTATAGTGTTGCATGGTGTGGGGAGTAGGGATGTGCTTGGGCATGTTCAGATGCTCTTCTGAACCCACATGGCTGAGCCTGCCAAGAAGCTGTCACCTGTAATGGGCCAATCATCTGCAATGAAGGCACTACCCACCCTGTAGCTGCACATATACAAGGGGAGTGTTAATGTATGGCTAAATTAGTAATTCCTTGGCCACATATGGTTGTCCATATGGATTCAGAAGACCATCTGAACATGAGCTAATCTCCAGTAGGAAGGGGATAGGTTAAAATCCCTGTTAGGTTTTAACTGTGATCTAGGGCTCTGAGATTTTTCCTAACTTTATGTCCTGTGACAATGATTTCACTCGACAGGAAGTGATGGTAAATTGATTTATATGTGTCATGTTATAGAAATAGTTCAGAGGGAAACTTGAAATCTAAAGCTGGTTTAAATCTTGGCCGGTTCAGTAGGGGCTGGCTGAGATTCGAACATGTATGGGCAGGCTGAAAGTACAACTAGTCTGACAGATTTTATGTGTGATTATTGCTAGCTCGTAGTAATCACTGTGTTCTCCCGGTAGGGATGGCTTCCCCACCCACCCTTCCGCTCTGCAGGAGGGATTCCCCCATCAACACCGATTGTGCTGATGGGGAAATTATTATTATTATTATACAGCATTTATATAGCGCTAAAAGGTTTGCTCAGCGCTGTACATTATAGTGGGGGACAGAACAAGAGACAATACAGTAATAATACAAAACACAAGGGATTCAAGGGCCCTGCTCTTTCGAGCTTACAATCTAGGAGGGAGGGGAAATAGAGCAATATTCTTTTATGGCCGACTTAAGAAAGTGCTTTGGGGATAATAAATTGGAAATGTTTTCCGACATTATATTTAAACACAGATATGTACATGTTATAAAAAAATTTAAATGTCATGTTAAAAAAAAAAGTAAAATGTAAAAAAGACATACAGCAATCAAAGTGTTAAACACTTGCATTCCATAGCTACTAGAGCCACTTGGGAGTTGACTGAAAGATCCCCCTCCCTCCCTCAGGCTTGGGAATAAAATACAGGACAGCCTTCTTAACTAATAAGGAATTCTTTGACCTTTTGGCTTTGTGCTCTATAAATCGCAAGATGTTTCTCTGATTGCATGGCTATAAGTAATTCCTAGATAACTCTTGACTGGTAACACATTTATTTCTTCAAATAATTGCCATTGTGTTCTGATTTTATGTATGTACCATTTATAAAACTCTCATTATTGGTATTTTCCACAGTAATTCATAGAAATAGCATATACACTGATCAAAAACATTAAAGGAACACTTTTTAATCGGAGTATAGCATCAAGTCAATTAAACTCCTGGGATATTGATCTGGTCAGTTAAGTAGCAGAGGGGGTTGTTAACCAGTTTCAGCTGCTTTGGTGTTAATGAAATTAATGAACTGAAATGAGACCACATCCAAAATCGGAATGTTTTACAGTTGGAGGCCTACTCATCTTTTTCTGACAGTTTTTCACTAGTTTTGCATTTGGCTAGGGTCAGTGTCACTACTGGTAGCATGAGGAGATACCTGGACCCTACAGAGTTTGCACAGGCAGTCCAAAACCTCCAGGATGGCACATCAATACGTGCCATTGCCAGAAGGTTACAGGCAGACAGGCAGTTACTCTAGGAGAGCTGGACAGGGCTGTAGAAGGTCCTTAACTCATCAACAGGACCTGTATCTGCTCCTTTGTGCAAAGAGGAACAGGATGAGCACTGCCAGAGCCCTACAAAATGACCTCCAGCAGGCCACTGGTATGAATGTCTCTGACCAAACAATCAGAAACACACTTCATGAGGGTGGTCTGAGGCCCAACGTCCTCTAATGGGCCCTGTGCCCACTGCGTGGCACTATAGAGCTCGATTGGCATTTGCCATTGAACGCCAGAATTGGCAGGTCCACCACTAGCGCCCTGTGCTTTTCACCTTGAGCACATGTGATAGAAGTGAAAGGGTCCATTGAGAACGTTATGCTGCCTGCAACATCATTCAGCATGACCGTTTTGGTGGTGGGTCAGTGATGGTCTGGGGAGGCATATCCATCCATCCATGGAGGGATGCACAGACCTCGACAGGCTAGACAATGGCACCCTGGCTGCCATTACGCATTGGGATGAAATCCTTGGACCCATTGTCAGACCCTACGCTGGAGCAGTGGGTCCTGGGTTCCTCCTTGTGCATGACAATGCCCGGCCTCATGTGGCGAGAGTATGCAAGCAGTTCCTGGAGGATGAAGGAATTGATACCATTGAATGGCAACTACTCTTGCCTGACCTAAATCCAATAGAACACCTCTGGGATATCATGTTTTTCTCCATCCCATGCTGCCAGGTTACACCTCAGACTGTCCAGGAGCTCAGTGATGCCCTGGTCCAGATCTGGGAGGAAACACCCCAGGACACCATCCGTCCTCTCATTAGGAGCATGCCCGACGTTGTCAGGCATGCATATAAGCATGCGGGATCCATACAAACTACTGAGTACCAATTTGAGTTGCTGCAATGAAATTGCAGCAAAATGGACTAGCCTGCTGCATCATTTTTTCACTTTGATTTTCGGGGTGTCTTTCAATTCAGTCCTCTGTAGGTTGATAATTTTCATTTCCATCAAACGATGGGGCATCCTTACGTTCCTAGCACATTACCCAGTCCATATTAGTATAGATATCCAGCATGATATTTTTTCCCATTGAGATCTGATGTATTTTCAAAGTGTTCCTTTAATTTTTTTTGAGCAGTGTATTTCAATGACATAATGAAATCATTACTAGAGGAATCCTTGAATTTGTTATTATGAGACTATACACACAAAACACCTAGCCAAACAGCCTATCCTGAAGTTGCTATAACATTTTTACACTGTTATGTAATTTTATTTAGATCTTGAACAAAGCTCATATGTTGCAACTTACTGATTCTTAGCAAAGAACGACAAACTTTCTAGAGTGCTGAAAGGAAAATTGCAGTTTTAAATGCTGAGTTGATAGGCCCAAGGTCTGTGCTAAAATGGTCCTTTAGGTATAATGGCAGTGCAGACCGTACCGCTATGTACGGTATGTCAGTGCCTAGATACACTAAGTTGGTCCAGGCCAGGCAGTGGAGCCCTTCCCCTACCAGAAATTGATTATCCTTTAAAGGAGCTCTGTGCCAAGGGAAATATGGAGCAGGTCATTGCTGACCTCTTTCTGAGAATGCTAGTTGCCTGGCTGTCTAGCCTCAATAGTCGCTGACCTAGAACAAGCATGCAGACAGTATAGTCACAACTCCTAATCTCACATGTGTTCCAGGTAAGTGACTCTGAGATTATGTTGAATTTTGAAAAGTAGAATTTAGCAGTAGAAGCTTATGCATTTCTTCAGCACTAGTTTCCTTTAAAGCTGAACTCCAGTAGTGACGTACAGTTGTGCTCAAACGTTTGCATACCCTGGCAGAAATAGTGAAATTTTGGCCTTGATATTGAAACAGTGACTGATCATGCCAAAAACTGTCTTTTATTTAAGGTTAATGATCACATGAAGCCATTTATTATCACATAGTTATTTGGGCTTCTTTTTAAATCACAAATCACCCAAATGGCCATGATCAAAAGTTTACATACCCTGGAATGTTTGGCCTTGGTGACAGACACAGGTTTATATGGCAATTAAAGGTTAATTTCCCACATCTGTGACTTTTTAAATTGCAATTAGTGTCTGTGTATAAATAGTCAATGAGTTTGTTTGCTCTCACATGGATGCACTGAGCAGGCTAGATACTAAGCCATGGGGATCAGAAAAGAACTGTCAAAATAACTGCGTAACAACCAGCGCAAACTTCTTTCATTTCCAAGTATTCACATGAAATACAATGTCCCTGTGACACATTTTTTTCGATAGTGGCAGCTATCCCTTGCTTTTGGTAGTCAATTTTCTAATTCTCAGGTGATTTTAAACATATCTGCCCTTGAGGATGTTTTGAGATCATATGGTTCTGATAAACCCGTGTCTGTTTTGTATAAACACTTGTGTATGGTCACTCTTACAGACCTAACCTCCCTCTGAAATAGATGGCTGGCCAATATACCAGATTTAGATGGGGACAATTGATTGAACATCTGGGATTTTCCATTTAAACAGCTTGTCTCCCTTGGGGATGGGTTTATTCAATTTAACTGCCTCCTGTCCGCCATATAAGGAAATGACAGGCGCAAGGCGGTTCTCTCATTCTGGGAGGACATCATATGATGTCCTCTCACTGCAACCACACGTGCGCGGCTCCGGGAGTGCGCTGCGTCCCTCAGACACAGCGGATCAACGGAAAGAGCCAAAGATGTCGGCTCAGTCATGTGAACAGCTGTGTCCAATCACAGCTGATCACATGTAAATAGGGAAATACCGGTTATCGGCATTTCTCTCCTCTCGAGCTGTCATGCTGACAGCTCGAGAGGAGAGCCGGTAATTGGCATTCCTCAGAGGGGACACGTACACTGATCATCAGTGCCAGTCAGTACCACCTATCAGTACACATTAGTGCCACCCAATCAGTGTCCATCAGTGCTGCCTATCAGTGCCGCCTAACAGTGCCAGTCAGTGCTGCCTATCAGTGTCGCCTATCAGTGCCATATATGAGTGCTGCCTTTCAGTGACCATCAGTGATACCTGTCAATGCCCATCAGTGCCACCTACCAGTGCCTCCTCATCAGTGCCACCTATCAGTGCCCATCAGTGCAGCCTATCAGTGTCCATCACTGCAGCTTTATTAGCGCATATCAGTGAAGGAGAAAAATCACTTATTTACAAAATTTTATAACAAAAACTAAAAAAAAGGTTTTTTTTTTCAAATTTTTTCAGTTTTTGGTTTGTTTAGCAAAAATGTAAAAACTCAGAGGTGATTAAATACCACCAAAAGAAAGCTCTATCTGTCTCAAAAAAATGATAAAAATTTCATATGGGTACAGTGTTGCATGATTATGCAATTGTCATTCAAAGTGTGACAGCGCTGAAAGCTGAAAATTGGCCTGGGCAGGAAGGGGGTATATCCCATAAGTGCTCTGTAGGCAAGTGGTTAAAATAGTACATAAAGCCTACTGCACCCCTTATAGAGTTCACAAAATAGATCCAACTATCCCAATATTGGGGATCTGTTGTCAGCATCATTGACTCCATCTCTGGAATTGAATTTTCTCCCTCTTTATGCATCTGTCTTTTGGGCTTAGTTGAAGATCTTGCCCCTACATTAGCTGAGCGAACTTTATTTGGGCTTCTCCTGTTTTATGCCAGAAAGGCCATTACCCTTACCTGGAAAAAGCCCATTCCCCCAACAGTAGTGTTTTGGCAACAGCTGGTCAATACAACCCTTCCCTTATACAAATATACTTATTCTCACAGAGGATGTCCTAAAATGTTTACCAAAGTATGGTCCAAATGGCTTCATAATAATTTCATGGCTAGATTGTAAGCTGTCTCCATTTGTTTCATATTGATATGGTTTCTTGATGATTGGGGGGGGAGGGTTCTCCGTGGCCAGGTTGGCCTCTCTCTGGGGTAGCATTTCCTTTCCTTACTACAGTTTTGTGGTTGTTACATGAGCCACACACACAAAGGTAATTGTTGCCCTGCATGGGCGCTTTTAGTACTTTATTGCAAACTCAATAAACAGAATGAAAAAAATAATACCTGCGTAACAAAGTAATTAAACTTTATAAAGATGGAAAAGCCTTGAATATGCCAATCAGTACTGCTCAATCACTTGAAATGGAAAATTTGGGGATCTACAGGAACTCTACAGAGTTGCCAGAAAGAAGCCTTTACTGAGCCAGTGCCACAAACAAGCCTGGTGACAATATGTCTGACAACATCTTGACATGCCTCACAGCTTCTGGCACAGTGTAATCTGAGATGAGACCAAAATAGAGCTTTATGGTCACAACCATAAGCACTATGTTTGGAAAGGGGTCAACAGCAACAAGAATACCATCCCCACTGTGAAGTCTGGTGGTGGCTCACTGATGTTTTGGGGGTGTGGTAGCTCTAAAGGCACAGGGAATCTTGTGAAAATTGATGGCAAGGTGAATGCAGCTTGCTTTCAGAAAATACTAGCAGACAATTTGCATTCTTCTGCAGAAAAGCTGCGTATGGGATGCTCTTGGACTTTCCAGCATAACAATGACCCTAAATACAAGACCAAGTTGACCCTCCAGTGGTTACAGAAGACAAAGGTGAAGGTTCTAGAATGGACACACCACCAGTTTCCTGACCTGAGTAGCATCAAGCCACTCTGGGGAGATGTGCAGTTCATGCAAAATGGCCAAAGACTTTGCATGACCTGGAGCCATTTTGCCAAGCCAAGTGGGCAGCTATACCACCTGCAAGAATTAGGGGCCTCATAGACAACTATTACAAAAGATTACACACTGTCATTGATGCTAAAGGGGGCAATACAGAGTATTAAGAACTAAGAGTATGCAGACTTTTGAACAGGAGTCATTTAATTTGTTTACTTGTTGCCATGTTTTGTTTTATGATTGTGCCATTCTGTTTATGACCTACAGCTGAATTTGAATCCCACAAGAAATAAAAGAAACGTGTTTTGTCTGCTCACTGATCTCTATGATTAAGTCCCAGGGGTGTGGCAAAACATGTTGGAGACATGGATGAGCCTGGATGAATTGAGCTGAGGCTGCTTTTACCTTCTTACCAGTTGGCCCGGCAGAGGTGTGCGGCAGTTGGGCAACCTCTTTCTATTTTTCCTTTGCCTGCTCACTCATGTTCTCTTTGGTACAAACTGTTATCAATTCTCCAAGGGAATGCAACATTTTGAGTACCACTGTATATTACATTGATCCAACTTTAAATAATTTAAGTATGACTATCTCAAAGATGGGTTGCTGGAGAAGCTGACATTTACAGTAGTAGTCAACGTTAATACAGTCTTCCAGGTCTTGTGTGAATTGCTTCCCCTCTGCACAATGACCACAGTTGTCATTCACTTGGCACTTCTGCCGAACTCCCTGGATTTTCCTCAGAGAATATAAAGCATTCTTTGATTGGACGAAGTGGAGATGGTGATGTCATCACCCCTCCACTCTACCTAATCAAACCAGAGAGTGCCCTGTATTCACAGGAAAACACAAGGCGGTCTTTTATTGGCAGCAGTGCCAAGTGAGTGAAGCCCTTATAGCCAGTGTGCAGAGGGGAAGCTGCTTGCATAGAACCTGAACAAGACCCAGAAGATCAAAACTATTACTGTAGTAGCGCATTAGGTATGCATACTTCCATTGTGCAAAGCTGGACCAGTGTAATAATAAAATATGAAACATTCTTAGGATTTTAAAGATCTCAGTTTATAAGATTCTCCCAGGGTTTCTATTCTTCTAACTTGCACTTCTATTGAATTTAAATTAACAAGATACAGTACAATCCACAATAAAAAAGTATATGTTTGAGAACACCACATTCAGAAACAAACAGCGCTCAACTAAAATCATTCTGCCGATGGCAATACATGTTTTTATCTCTATTTCAGAAGCCATTCAGTTCAGTTTGGCAGCTTTCAAGATAAACATTTTATGACCATGCACTTTATAAAATGAAATTACCTTTAATCTTTTTTTTTTTTTTTTTTTTTTTTTTGCTGCTACCCGACTTAGGTTAGCTTAGGTTTTCACACAGTGAGCTTTTCTGCCCCTAAGGGAAACTTATCAACAGTACAAATTTATTGTTAAAGTGTAGGTTAACCTAAAACCTTAAGGTTACAATTCGGGGTCTAATCTGTGTTGGGGCAAATAAACTCCCTAGTGCCAAGTGAAACAGGGACATAGGCATTGTCTGTAGAGCAATCAGGTTGTCATAGTTAATGATACTTAGAAGAAGAAGCAACATTTTGGTGTAATTGTTGTGCCTCACCTTCAAGTAAAAGATTGACTTTTTGCAGGAATTCTTGTGTGTGAGAACCAAATGGAAGCTTCATCACCAGCTCTGTATCTGCAGATTTTATCATCACTGTGATGTCAGAACCTGAGTGACCAAATGGAGAGAAAAATGAGGAAGGGGTGACAGGCAATTTTTGGTTTTAGGTACGGTAGTATTGTTTTAAAGCTAAACAACAGGCTTGTCAAATCCCTTTAATATACCTAGCATACACTTACTTTTCCTTTACTTTCCCACAGAAGCCGAAAAATATACCCCATACATCCAGACATGGATGAGTATGTGCCACACTAGGCTATTACCTACATAGGCGTGTTTTTTGCTCCAAGTGGTTGAACTGGGCAGTAAGGAACAAAGTGAAGGTATTTGCTGCTGGCAATGGCTACTATAAATTGAACCAATAACCTTGCCCTGTATAGGCAGAAGCACATAGTAAGGCAGTGATACACTGTTTCAAAGAATGAACAAAGAGGAAAAGGAAAAAGAAAATCAATTCAGTTTGCTTATAAATATTATGTATTCTCATTTTCAGCCAACTGGTGGCGATTTAGGGTCTTTGTCGCACATTTCAAGTTTTGCAGTACATTAAAAAAAATCTAGTAATTACACAACAGTGTCTTATTCGCCACATTTCCCTCTTCCCATATGGCTCCAGTTGAGGTTTCCATAAAAGGGTCTAAAAGGAAGCTTGTGTTTGTGCTGCACTGTCTCTTTCGTTTAAAAATGTATAACTTTCAAGAAAAGAAAAAAAAAATTGACCCAAAAACATGATAGTTACCCTTTAAGCACATTTGCTGATATGGTGATCAGCCTAGACTTGTAGCCAATATATGAATCAAAATAAGCAATATTGTGGCGCCTGTAAAACCTAGTGTAGGTATGTGCTAGAATAAAATTGTAATTTCTGCCATATTCAGGCAGTAATGGCAGCTGCCCCTATTAAGTAACAGAAACACTCCATAAATAGATAGGCACTTGTTCAATAAAATATATATACTGTGACATAAATATATTATTACAAAATAAAATATATAGGGCTTGGAGCTTGGAGCGTCCATCATGTCATGGCATGCCATCATGTCATGACTTTCCACATTGATACCAATGTTCTCATATCGGCTGCACAGACTGGTGCCGGGACATAGGCACCATAATATGTGAGTGCAATTTTACTCATTATTTGAACCATGGTTCTTAATAAATATTACACTTAGAACATTTTTATGAAACATGCTTTTATTTGAGCTTCCTTGAGAGCTACTATAAGAAGGGGAGTTTGGAGATCCATCGTATGAGAGCCTGCAGTTGGGAATCCATACACCATTTGATTATCTAGCGTGATTTGACCACCCAAAGTGTGGGTCAACACCTTCTGGTGGTGAGTGGAAAATTCACATATTACTCAAGAGTGGTGGAGAAGAATTCACTGGATTTATGTGACACCCTGCTATGGGACTTCATTTACAGCCTTTGGACTATATTATACCCTGTATTTACATAATTGTTACATGTGGTGTTGGGAGAGCACTATATATTTAATTTTGTAGTTATACATTTATGTCACAGTATATATATTTTATTGAGCAAGCACCTATCTATTTATGGTTTGTTGTAGCCTATATAGTCAGAAAAAATTTAAAAAAATGTACTTACCAATAACCTGAAAACGGTCACAAGGCGCTACTGCAAAGTAAAAACAATCTTTAAAAGACAAGAT